CTTTGCTTCTTGACTTGCTAGCAAACGAACAACGACCTGATTGGCAAGAAATTTCCAGTTCAGTGCAATTCTGTTATTTTGTTTCGATCTGATTCTGATTTCGATTTAAAGTAAACGAGCGTAAATATATTGGATTTCAACTATATCTTTTTGAACGATATTGAATTAATTGGCAATTTTCACATTTTCAAGATTTTCGCCACTTTGCTTTAAGAATCAAAATTCTTTTTTTATTAGATGGTTTAAAGCCAATTTAAACCTCTGCGAAATTTGCATTTCTAATAATAAGTATATTCAGTCCCCTTCTAACAAAGAACTGCTAATGCCTTAATTTGAATTTGTCCATTTCAGACAACCTTATCGTTCTCTAATTGGAAATCCAATTTAAAAGAAAGCCTCTCTCCCTGGTGTGCAAAAAGCAACAACAAAAACTTAAGTGCGCGAGAAACAGGTATGTGCCGTTATCCTCGTGCACTGAATAATGATAAGCCCTGTTAAAATTCCAAGTCCGTGACTCGTTCCCGAAGTATATGGATTCGCTCTGGAATGGAGTACTTCTCAAAAAGTCATTCTTTATTCGTTTGTTTTATTTCAGATAGCGTTCAGCGTAATTTTACGTTTGGTTTTGCTTTAGTACATCTGTTATTGAAAATATAGTTATAATTCATCGGGGAGATAATAGAATTGGAATAGAGATTAAAGTGCACACAGAGTAAACTTGTTTCGCGAGTAGCAGTAACTGAAAGACCTATTCAAAATTCTAATCTATAACTTAAGTCCATAATAATTTATCTACATCTCAGATCTACATTCTTTATCCATAATTTGCAGAATCACCTACCCGGTTTCAACGATTTACATCATGAACTTACTATACATGAAACTAGTAGCGGGGCACCACGAATAATTAATGTGCAAATATGGAGTTTCTAGAAATGTTGAAGCTTCAAAACTAGATCCGAACCGGCCCCTGCCTGGCTGATCTATGAAAAATTAATCTCGGATTAAAGTTTGCGAGAAATTGTTATTTATAGCCAAGGTGTGTTTGGGTTTTGAATCGATTAATATTATTAATGGCTTCGTGATATTGACAGCTTGAATTTCTACCTAATGTACAGTGTGATAAATGATCTCTTGCTGGAAAGATTCTAAATAAGCGAAAGGGTGAGAAACATTTTGAATGCTGAATCATAATTGTGTTTCTGATTTCAAAACAGAAGGGAAAGGAAAACATGTTGACCAGTTTAAGCGTATTCCATGGTGGAGGGCTGTTGGCCTAAGTCACGGACGCTCCGCAAAGTGGAATAGAAGCTGTTCCATCCAAAATTCAAAACCGAAAATCGTAATCAGATATTTCAGTTAAGTCCGTGGAGAGGCATCAAAGAGAAAGAGAGAAAAAGCTGTCGAAAATTATGGTTGTGTTCAATGTATAAGTGAAAACTATAATGAACTGAGATAAGTGCTGCTGAAAACATTACCAAAGAAGACTCTGCAAAAAAAAAATACTGGCAAGGAATTGGAAATGGTATTTTGTGCTTGTAACGCTCTTTTGTCGAAACAAAAAAATGCTCATAATTGTGCTCGACTATGCTCGGTGGTTGTTTAGCTTGGGGTGGTCCTTGGTGGTCCAGTAAAGAGAGGGCGCCACTAGTTTGTATAAAATTATTTTGATTACTAAAGAATAGCCAAACTATTATTCAAAATGATAAATGCAAAAATCTGAAAAGGTAAAATAAATACAATAGCTATCTGACATTCAACCCCTTCAATAAAAACACAAGTTTTGGAATTCTAAAAACAATAATTTATCAACCAGATGTCGAACTTGTGCATTAACAATTTGTTGACAGGATGACGAACTTGTTGTTCAATTGTTCAAAGGATAATATTGTTCAGTATCCAATTTTTATAAAAAAATTATTAGCAGCTTACCAAAAGCAGTACTTAATTTAAATAGGTATATAAAAAGATTGAAATTTAAAAACAATTAAATAGATACCCTTGATGAGAATTACCTAAGTATAAATGTTGAAGTAGAAATAAAATTAACCTTTAATTTTTGACTCAAAGTCAATCAAATTAATAAAAAAAAACAAATCAATAAATGCAGAAAGGTAATAAATAATCCCTCGGGAATTATAAATGCCAAAGACAGGCTATATGAAATCAAGGATATCGGGAAGAGCTCTACCGTCTTACCTGTAATTAAAATTCAAAATATGTAAACAGAAAACTTAACTTTGACTACCTAAAGATTTTACATTGGTTTACCTTGTAAAACTACCACTTTATTGATTTGAAATTAAAAGTTAAATTAACCTTTTAAAGGTTAATGAATCCACAATATATTATATCGATCAGTACTCGATATTAAGGAAATAAATTTATAATAATTATAATAATGCATAATTATTAGATACTTAATGAATAATGATAAGAAAATGATAATAAAAGTTAATATTTGACTCTGATAATAATTAATTAATTAACTTAATAATTAATTTTAAACGGTAGTTAGCTATTCTAGCTAAAAACTACTATAGGGTAAACAATTAAGCCGGTAATTAAATTTACAAAGATATTAATTAGCTAATGAAGCTAATCGATAGGGGGCGATAAAGAAAAGGTAAAAAAATCACGGTAATTAAGATTTATAAAGATATTAATTAGCTAATAAAGCTAATCGATAAGGGGCGATAATGAAAAGGTAAAAATAAGATAGGATGATTAAGATGGCACGTGTAAGACACCCATAGGTAAGTAATTATACAAGCCTGAACGGAATCCTTGTAAAGCCTCGGAAGTTTTCACAAATTTGAGCTCTGGAGGTACCAAACTGGCCGGAGACAACCAAATAATGGTTGGAGATCAACTTCTTACAGGACACCAACATTCCTTGAAAAGGGGGCCCAGATTTACTCTGAGATGCAGGACAGCATGGTCTCAAATTTGTCAATTTTCACTTGGATAAGTGCAGTCACGGATTTTTCGTCTTGCCCAAAGTGCCTGAATGAATTGAAGGAATATAGGACTCATTCATCAGAGAGAAAAAGGGAATTTACATACCTGAACGGCCGATAGTAACCTCACTTTCCAAAATCTTCACAAAAATCAACAATCGGTTGATTTTCCAGGAAACTTTCTAGTAGATATGATCAAGCACTGTTCTGGCTAGTCAATTCACAAAACTATGGGCTCGATGGCCAAAAATAAAGACAAAATTTTAAGATATTTTAGATTAAAAATCTGGACGACCTTTTCGGTCCCAAGACAAAAGAGAAAAGGCCAAGTCAAAAGTACCCAAATGGGTTCTGTCCTTGCAGTTGCTGAAGCATTATTGGAATACATCCTGGTACCGATGAAAGCTCATACCGATCAAGGGAGAAATTTTGAGTCCGAAGTATGGGTACAACTGATAAAAGTTACTGAAAATAAAGAACACCAGAATATTAACGATTTGTTGTACAGGACTCAAATTTCGCCAGAGCTCGTTGATGTAAAAAGGCTGATCCCATATACAGAAGCAAGAAGGTACCGACTTGGGTGCGACGCGACCAAGAGAAGCTGTCCATAGCTAACAGCAGTATTTTAAAATAACATAGATAGGTACCTATCCTCATAATCCGTATGACTGGAATTGTCGAAAATCAAGTTTGCCTCGATGGAGTAATCTAGCCTAGCAAGTTATCGATCGGCGCTTACCAGAGACTCCATCAGAGAAATGTCTCGTTACAGGCTTCTGTACGAACATACCTACTTGAAGAACAAAGCACCAAAAAACCTCAATATATTAACGGCGTCTGTGGTTTTTTTACTTTGTTACATAATTATTATAATGAGGTACTATCGTCAGTAACTTTCTCAGCAACAGTTATTGAAAACATTTTTGTAGACATTCGGATCATCAGTTTTGGTTTGAGACGCTGAAACGCGTTTCCTCTGCCCTACTTTGAGAACAGATTATTAAATTTCCGGTGATCAACAATATTTTGGAATAATTTTACTGGGAGTGTACCTATTATGGACCTTCTTGTTTCTATACTTATTCTCACTACTTTTAAAACGAAAACAAACACCATCTGCCGCTAGTTAATCGATGAAGAAATTAAAGAGGAATTAGACAAAAGTTTTCGGGAATAAATTTTAGCATGTAGAAAATGTTATTGAGTGTCTTACTTCAATATATTGTTATAAACCCGCCACTCTTACTTTTTGATTGCCCCTTGTAACTACAGTTAAAGAAGCCAGAAAATTCGACTATTTTCAAGATAAACTGAATCACGAAAATTCGAGCGTGTTAGAGAAGGACACACATAACTATAAAAGCCCCGGTGCGCACCGCGTAAGGATCAGTTCTGATTGACGTACGACAAGTGAAGTAAACTGTAAAGTTAGGAACTAAATAACCACGTTCGAAAATAATCGAGCCGTGTAAGCTTTATTTAGAGTAGTTCGGAGTGTAAAGTCGTGTTAAATTTCGTGTGATTTTTATGTTATTATGTTTAATAAAATTCGTTAAAGTTCGAAAAACTAGTCTCACTTATCTGCGAACCCGTATAAGTAACAATATCTTGTTATGAAGATAGTACAAAAATTAGTACAGAATAAAACTTGGTTTAAATCAATCCCTTTTATCTATATTAAAACAAAATTAACTGATAACCTAGTACTTAAATTCCAGCTAAAATTGGAATTAAGCCCGGCAAAAACTTCAGATATAAATCGAAACAAAATTACTTTCCTCCATAAATCTGACCGGACCATTATTTTGCCTCAGATTTATCGCGCTAAAACACTTAAACCGTGCACATTCGTCTGCTTGATTCAATATAAATTAGAGACTAAGTACAAAACCGTTACATAAATCTCGATTTGCTTTAGTATTCCAACCCCATCCGAGCTACGAGACAGATTCTCATTCGATAAGGGAAAAAACGTTTCGCATAAAACGTACATAACGCTGGCTGCATATGAAATACTATATGAATATTATATTTTAGATCAAAAACCGAAACTCAAAAACCACTACCGAGCGCATCGGTTATCCTTTTGGTTGAACTTGGTGCCTGACCTTCACAAACCTGGCGGAGATGACGTGCCAGCATCGCATCACGAGCTTGGTGACGATGACGAACCTGCTCCGAAATTTCCGTCCTTAAATCCCAGGAAATTGCCCACTACGGAGGCACCGATAGAATTCAAGACACTATTTGGTAATAATGGGTCTTCAGCTTTGGCGACGATTAGCTCGGCTGATTCTACTGAGAGAGTGGAAGAATTAGGCAAGTATTTTTATATTTCGATGAAAGAAACCCCTTTTCATAGTCATTATTCTATCCATTTTTCTAGGAAAAAATTGAATTTCTCTCCCTAAGTGAATAATAATAATATAATATACTATTTATACATCTGTCACTAATGAACTAATTATTGTCCAAGAGACTTTTTCACATCATTCTCTGGTAGTTGCAGTATTGGCAAGGATATGAACGTGCCTTCTGAGGAAGGACAGCCTTATTGCTGGATGTTTTTTATAGATTGAATCCAGCGCATCTACAACTCCACTGCCTGTTGTAACTGTAGGTACCTACTACGAAATAGACTTTGTTTTCTCGTGAGAAAATATCATAATTGTGTTCTATATCGTCCAGGTTGCAAGTCTTTTTAAGTCTTGCTATAACTTGTGAGTGTTGAAGAATATTCTGCATCTTAATGGAAGTCTTAAGAACAATCATTCATTTTTATATTTTAAAAAGGTGTGTGACAGAGTGTCAATTAATTAATCACTTTTTTATTACTGTGTCAAATATATTTCGTATTTTCCTCTTAATTTGAATCATGGTTTCTCAAACTTTAACATGGTAGCAGAGCGTTGAAAGAGGCGAGAAAAATTAAGAATATCAAGAGCTGAATTAGTATGAAAAAGTAGTAGTTGAAGTTTGAAGGATGGATCCAAGCAAAGTTCATATAGGATTACTGGAAGGTAAAGCTAATTGGACCACATGGAAGTAAAAAATGAACATTCTTCTAAGAGGTACCTATTCCAAATGCAGTTGATATTTGGGAACGAAAGTTGGTGGTTCTAGTGGAAGAAAATGCCTTAGCAGTTGAAATTGCTGCTTACGATAAATATGACACAAGATACCTTACAAAAAGGTATGAGGTTTTCTACAGCAAGAAAAGTGTGGGTTGAATTAAATAGGCTCTCTGATGGCAATGTCGACGACAAAACCTATGATGTTTGCTTAGAATTCTTCAACTATAAGAAGAAAGTTGAAGATGATATGACAACGCACACGTCTAAGTTCAAGAACCTGTGGAATAAGCTGCAAAAGGGGTTATCAAAAGACCAAATCATTACAAATAAAACATATAATTGTGAGTTACATGAGTTGCTATTAGTCTGTAAGATTTTAGAAACTCTACCCCAAGACTACTTCTCATTCAAGTGAAGCTGGCAGTTCGACCAATAAAAGAAAACAAGTTTGCAATTATTGCAAAAGAGAAGATCATAAAGTCAAACAATGTATTAAATGGAAAGAAGATGGTAGACCTCCAAAACCAGAAAGCTCAAATTCAAGAAATAACAGAGCACAGAAAAATAAGGATACAAACATGATGTTAGTTGCCTTAACAAGTACCTAGTATCTTATTTAGCGAATATGGGGAGAATAGCTGGTTTGTGGATAATGCCGATTATACAACTCACTGTACATTATTCCCATATGACACGAGAGGCTCAATAAGTGATAAGCCTTTTGGGATTATCACGCTTGGTGACAACTTGTTATTAATAATCATAAAAATTAATAAAGTATCAAAGTTTAGTTCGTTGTATAACCTTTTGAATACCACTCGATGTTTCAGGATTGCCTGATACTTTTACCTGACACTCAACGCGTTACCAGCAACACCACTCCTCCTTCGGAGTCGTGGTGTTGCTGCGTAACCTGTTTCGTGACAGGTAAAAGTATTATCCGGTAATCGTGAAACCTCTTGTGGTATTAGATACACACACCATAACGACAGCGAATGGAGAAACGGTAAGAGCAGTAGATTGCAGATCATAAAGCCAAAGAAAACAGCTCAAATCAACATAGTTTCAAATGATAACTTATTGCAACATTTGCAACTATGGTACCATGAACGCTTTGGTCATCAAAACAAACGACACACAGATATTTTGAGTCGTGGGTTTGACTTCAGAGTGACCTTAGACATTTGTGGGTTGTATTGTATATAGGTACTAGGAGAACTCTTACACACAGATGTTTGTGGGCCTTTTGAAAAATCCAAAAGTGGCTATAGATAATTCATGCTCTTCAAGGATGATTTCAGTCGTTATCGTTATGTTTACTTTCTAAAAGGAAAATCTGAAGTTGCGGAAAAACTGACAATTATGTTAACTGGAGTAAAAACAGTAGGACATATAGTAAAAGAGCTACTCTCAGATAATGGTGGAAAATTTGACAACGATCAAGTAGGAAAAATTCTACAAGAAAGTGGAATCAAACAGAGACTCGTAATGCCTTATACGCCAGAGCAAAACGGTTGTGTAGAGCGAGATAATCGTTCTATCGTTGAAACTGCTAGATCCATCATGCATACTAAGGAAGATCACAACTTTTTTGGGCTGAAATAATGAATACATCGGCGTACATTTTGAATAGGACTGGTAATTCTAGTATCGAAGAAAAATCTCCATTTAAACTCCGGTATGTGTAAAAGCCTTCTTTAAAACACATGAAAATTATTGAATCATCCTGTTGTTTCCATGTACCAAAGTCAGGAAGAAAGAAAATTGATTGAAAGGCAGTGAAAGGCATACCTATAGGATATGACCAAGATGATCGATATCGGATTTGGTCTGAAGAATCTGAGAAAATAGTCAGATCGAAAGATGCAATACTCGACGAAAAACTCATAACTTCAACGTTGCCGTTGTTGGAAGACCCTGTTGGAATTTCTCAGCAAAACAATTGTAATACCTTTTGTCAGAAGTAGGAAAGGTACTCCAGAACAAGAAACTAAAGAAAAAATGTACAAGACGGCGAAGAAGATGATAGTTTGGGGAATCATAGTTTTTTGATACTCGTTCTGACATCTTAGTAGAATGACCAGATAATGATATTTCAGAAGAAGTCCCAAATGTACCAAGTAGACAACTGAGAGATAGAAATTAGATACAAATGCCTGCCAGGTTTGAAGATTTCGCTATGATGGTTGCTGTAGACATTATGGAAATAAATAAGCCAATTACGTACCGAGAAGCTATGTCAAGTAATAGGGCAAATGACTGGAAAATGGCTATGGGAAGAGAAATGAAGTCTCTAGAGGAGAACTGTGTTTGGACTTTAGGAAAGCTACCTAATGGTAAGAAGGCTATAACAAATAAATGGGTGTACAAGTAAAAATACAATCCAGATGGCTTTATAGATAAATTCAAAGCCAGACTAGTCGCAAAAGGTTATTCACAGAAGAAATATCAAGATTGTGATGAGACATTTAGCCCAGTTGCTAGATTTGCTACAATACGATCTGTTTTGAGTATATCTGCCAGTGGAAATTTAAGTCAGCCAGCTTGATGTTTGTACAGCATTCCTATGTCCAGAAGAAGTACCTATACATGAAACAGCCAGAGGGTTTCAATGATGGTTTGTCATCTAAGGAAGAGCCTATATGGACTTAAGCAAGCTCCTAGGTGTTGGAACAGAAGAATAACGGATTCCATTCTATCCTCTGGTTTCAAAGAGAGCGATGCCCGATCCATGTCTCTTCATCATAAGGGAAGGAACAGAAATTCTTATTTTAGTTTTATATGTGGACGATGGTCTACTAGGCTCAAGCAATAAGCAAGCAAGTGCTTAAAGTCACGATAAAGCCGGCATCATATTTTTTGGGTATGGAAATCAAGTCAAAGAATGGTTCAGTTATCATAAATCAAAATGCATATGCCAAGAATTTGTTGAAAATATTTGGTATGAACAATTGCAGACCCGGCAAAACTCCAATTGTTAGGGATAAGTCTCCTTCAGAAGAAGCCGAAATATCAAATTTTTCATATAGAGAGGTTGTTGGAGCATTACTTTACCTGATGTCAGGATCAAGACCAGACATTTCATACGCAGTCAGTGAGGCGTCAAGAAGTTTGGAAAATCCAACATTCAAGGTACACTCAATTATTATGGTATCACTTACAGGCCAAGAACCAGAAGAGGTTACCTACAAGGTTTTAATGATGCTGATCATGGAGAGGATATAAAAACAGGCCGCTCCCTAAAGGAGAAGCATGTGTTTATGCTGGAGGTGCTATATCCTGGATGAGCCAGAGACAACCTCCAGTTGCCATTTTTACAGCCGAAGCGGAGATCGTTGCAGCTAGCGAAGCTTCAAAAGAACTTGTATGGTTAAAAAGATTATAGGAAGAAATAGTAACAATGAAAGAAATTTCGGAGTTATTAGTTGACAACGAAGCAGCTATTCGTTTGGCACAAAATCCTGAGAGCCACAAGAGAACCAAGCACATTCAGATTCGACAATTTCTATGTGAGAGTGCTTGTCTCAGAAGAAACTTTGAGTGTACACAAAACGTCTACAGAAACTCAAGTTGCTGATATAATGACAAAAGCCTTGTTCAAACCAAGACATGACATTTTATGTGACAATATGGGCCTAACCAAGATTTCTAATGAGGGAAGGTGTTGAAGAAGATTCTACCTACATCTTTATGGAAGTCATAATACCAGTCATTTATTTTTATATTTTGGAAAGGTGTATGGACAGAGTGACAATCAATTAATCACTTTTTTATTAGTGTGTCAAATATATTTCGTATTTTCCTCCTAATTTGAATCATGGTTTCTCAAACTTTAACAGTGAGCCGAGGCTTTCGAGTTGTCACAGTTTTAACAGTTGCCTGTAGTGTTCTTTTGCATGGTTGGTCCTTATAATTAATACGGTGTTAAATTTTTTGAATGATCGCATTGAATGATTTGCGTTTTTTCCAACTACAGAATCTCTGCTGAATTTTGTCGCATTCTAGGGCCAGTGTGCATAGTTTCGTCAAGGCTCATTTCAGATGTAGTTTGTGCTGAATGCATCAAATACAAACTGGGGTCGAGTGGGTGAGCATCACTTCCTGAGAAAAGGTTGATGGGGTGGGGTACCTATTCAATATTTTCGTTGGTTGACTTGGTGTCCTAGAACCTTTTTCATATGCTCAGTTACAAGTATTCTTTCATTCATTTAAGGTATTTCTGTTTGAGACTATTGTGAAAAATTTTCCTCTAAACACAATATAATAGTTCAACTGCCGTTGGTTCCTCTAATTTAATGGGGATAGAGAAAATTGTTCTTACCTTGTTCCACTTTTCGGTTTCTTGAGAAAGGCACTATGCACACCTTTTCCTTGCTGTGTAATAATTGTTTATGCGTCTTCAGAAACTGCATGGTTAATTGCTAAGACTTTTTCAAGTAAAATTTGTTTCAAATTTTTTCTTAATTTTTAAACGTTATAATGGTCTTTAATCAAGGATGGCAAGTGCAGGAAACATTCTACAATCATAAAACGCGTCATGTAGAATGGGTCGAATCTAGGTACCTATATGTACTCTTAACCTTATTTATTGTACTTCCTTCTTATGCAGAAGACGTAAAGACTCAAGATTGAAAATTGAGCTTTTAAACGTACCATAAATTATCTCAATTTCCTTATAGAATAACTTCCTTAATTGGGTTGAGGGGTTGAGGACATTCCCTTCCTTAAAAAAGTATGCCGACGTTCCGACTGTGCATTAGGTTTTCTTCACAGGCAATTTTACCTGCAAGAGAGTTTTACAAAGTCGAGTCTGAATAAATCTAATTTCCCTAAATATGATGTCTCACTCAAGGCACCAAAATCTCGGAAGCTCAAGATTAAGAACCATAATTTGACTATTTCCCAAGGCTGACAAGGGCAACTGTCTGGTCATTATGGCGAAGGAACTTTATATTTCAAAGGTAGAAACTTTCCTCACTGAGAACTCCTTTTTTCAAGACCCTACCTTCAAATCCTTCCAGCAGCCGCATCAGAACAACATCCAAACTCATCAAGCACTTCAAACGCTTCCTTGATGAACATAATGCGCCATGCACTCTAATTTCTAGCAACCCTACAATACCTCGATTGTACGGTTTACCCAAAATCCACAAACTGGACATACCTATTAGGCCAGTAGTCAGTTTCACTAACACGCCAATTTCCTTCCTAGTTAGCTTCGTCTTAAAGCTACTAGCTAATTTCACAGGTTTTGTCCCAGAATTTGGTGTGAGAAATTTCATTGAGGTAACGAACAAACTCGTCCAACTTTAGCTACCATGTAGTTACCTGCTTGTCTCTTCTGATATCTCAAATCTTCTCACCATAATGCCCAAATCCGAAACTGTTAGTATTATTGGTGACCTTTTGAGAAGCAAAACAAATTACTTCAATATCACATCCATTCTTTCTCTCTTGAATCTCTGCCTTTCACATAATTTTTTGTATTCCACAATAAATTCTATCAACAGCCGGCTATGGGTAGCTGCCTTACACTTTTTCTAGCGGACATATTCATGGATTATATTGAGTCCAAGTTCATTATTACCGACGCTTATAGGGAAATATTACACTGGTATATAGGTACGTGAACGATTGCCTTTGTTTTCTTATGCCGAAGGAACGAGTCTTCTTCTGAATAGGTTGAACAACCTCCACCCCAATATCTCCTTCACTTTGGAACTCTAGGTTGAAGACAGAATAAATTTTCTCGATCTAAACATCCACAAGGACTCAAATGGATTACAATTCTCAATATTCAGGTAACTAACCCAAACTGATCATGTGATCCCTTTCTACTCTAACCATCCCTACCAGCACAAAATGACTTCTTTTCACTGCTACAGTCACCGTCTTCTGAGCATACCTATGCCCCTGCTAGCTACAATCAAGAATTAAAAACTCTCCAACAAATTGCTTTTGAGAACGACTATGACCCAAGCCTGGATGAGACGTTGATCAACAAAATCAAGCTCAAGAAACTGAAAAAATAAATATTTCCAAACAAACTTCAAAATAAAAAATTCATTTCAAGCCCGTTTATTAATCCATTTTTTAATAAAAAAATCTCCAATATATTTCTTAAACATCAAAGTGACATACAAATCTCCTACAAAACTAGAAATAACTTGGGCTCTTGCCTGGTCAACACGAAGGCCAAAATTGACAAATTGTCAAAAGTGGTGTCTATAAGTTGGAATGCGATTCGTGCAGTTGTTCTTATATAGGACGTACTTGTAGACCATTAAATACACGAATTGCTGAACACTTAAGCAGGTCTTATTCGGTATTTGGTGAACATTTGAAATCCACAAATCACACGTTCAGCCCTGGATCTTATTTACAAATTCTCCACCAAATTAGTTCCAAGAACTACAATCGCCTAGATTTTCTTGAGGACATCCATATATCTAATGAGCTGGAAAGTAACCGTTCTGGTTTAAATATCCAAGTTAACCTGAATAAACCTTACATCCCTCTACATAGGAGATTACATAATTAACCCACTTTAATGTGCTAGAGCTTGCTTTCGCTGGATTCGACCGTTCAAACTTGGCTGGAAAATCTCTAATTAGAAAAACAACAACTTTCAAAAACCTGTCTTTTTCTCTTTATATTGCATCTAACCTCTTCAAGCTGAGTATTATCTTTTTCTTTATTACGTTGGTAACACACACGCCACTGGAGTCTATTCTGTTGCATCTCTGCATTGTTACCACCTGATGGAGTGTCACTATGACCCCCTATGACTCAACTGTTTGATCTTTTCAAGAAATTTCATTTAAAAATCATATTTTTGCGCAAATCACTAGATCGGACAGTTTCGTTAAATTTTTGGCGACATTGTTTCAAATTTTTTGTTGCCCATAAAATGTTTTTAAATTTCTTCTTATTATTTTAGGTGGTATCAGCACGACTCAACATACAGTAGAAGATGGCTTCGCAGCTTACTCCACCGCTCTAAGTGTAACGATAGCAATAGGTTGTTCGTTGCTAATTTTAAACGTTCTCATATTTGCGGGTGTATACTACCAAAGAGACAAGTCTAGAATGAGCGAAAACGGTCATGGTCATCAACCTAAAAAACGTAACGAAAATGGTCAAATGCCTAACAACATTTGCGGCGATTTAGAATCCAGTATAATCGGAGTCAAAGGTGATCCAGCAACAATTTTGGGTCACCACCATTCGCATCATCAGCTGCCTCCACCAGAATTTGCAGATTTGCCTCAGAATAACGCCACTTTGCCGAGGCATCCGCCGCCGCCTCCGAAAGTGAACAAAGCAAACGTGAACACGTTAAGTTCGCGAAACGTCCAAGAAAATCAGCCGTTACTGTCCACGCACAGTATACAGCTGATCAATACTGGTACGTTAACGAAAAAAAACACTCAGTTAAACGCGAAACAAAACACTACAATGGAAGAACTGCGTGTGTGACAGGAAGATGTCTACTTGTGATTTGCAATAACTAAGACTGTTGCTCATGAGTCGCTATGCTCGAACTCGCGGAACTTGTAAAGTTTTTTTCTAATCGAATTTTTGTATTCTCGATATAATAGCAACAAGACAGTATATTTGGTAAAGACACAGAATTGGTTGGGATTTTGCTGGAGAAAAAAATAAAAATCCATTTTAAAAAAAAAACTGAAATTATTATCAGCAACAACAATAATTGTAATGGTCCAGGAATTGCTTAGGATACTGATTCGTTTATGTCGGACTTGGGAGTTGCGAGAGAATGTGAGCCAGAACTAAAGCCAAGTACAATAAAGTATGAAACTGCATTCAATTCCTAATAGGCGCGTAGCCAAAGTTAATCTGGATACAGGATAAGGCTTACCTAAGTTATACATAACGGACATGGGCACTACTAAACACATACACCTATACAGACTCTTTATTCGTTAGCTAACCGACGACCTGCACGCTACCCCCCACCACATTTTATTGTATTATTCCGACGACCCCGATGCGTGATCCATATACAATTACTATTGACCCGCCGTTCGCCGTTGACATTGACCTTCAATGATTAAGGTTCCTTGTATTTTTATTAATTCGTAGTCTATCCTGTAAACGAACTTTATTTAAACGTGACGTGATGGAGGATTTTCCTGAAACCTATGAGCCTTTTTTGGAAAATGATTTGGTTTAATTAACCGAAGGGATATGCCCTATCTTTCTAGATACGACAATATGGAATCGTGGCACACATAGACATGTTAAACGTTGCGAAATTAAACCAAGCAGTTCAAAGTTTTCTTTTGGTTTTCATAGCTCTATTTACTTTTGTACAGCAAGTTGACTATTTCGTCTCTTGTCGTACCGTCTGGTGATATCCAGGTCCATTTTTGTTACATCTCACTCGTTTATGGAACGCCTTGTAATTTAATTTGCCAATAGCGTCGGCCATATTAATAAATTTCGTTACTTTGCCTTTGTCTATGATTTTTGATTGCTCTCCAGGGAAAACTTCTAGATCTTGTTCACTTGGTTGGTACATAGAGCTGTATGAGCTCTAGAGTGATGATCTTACTGATGTTTTTTTTTCATCATGATTCAAATGCCTCCGGATGTTTCGGGGGTGGATGGAGCGTCCAGATAGGGTTCATTTCAATTTGAGGGGTGGAAACACACATAGACTAATCTGACATTGCTTGCTTAACATTTTTCGGAATTGGAGAGTCTAGTAATGCTTGGATTTTAGCCTTTCCTGGCCTCATTCTCTGGCTTGATATTTCTCTACCAAGATATTTCAAGAAATATTGGAGGAAACGGCATTTTTTAATATTCAAAAAAAAATCCAGCAGAACTCGATGCTTCTAAAATTTGACGCAAATATTTAAGTCCTTCATATGTAGAACTAGGAATCGAAATGTCATCGAGGTACACTAAGGCTATTGAGTCTTTCAATGAGCCCAATGCCGAATTCACGCCTCTCTGAAATACAGCAGGGGCATTTGCTAAGCCAAATGGCATCCTGAAAAACTCGGAATGGTCATCGGGCATTACAAAAGCCGTTTTTTGAACAGAGTCTTCATGTATGTAGTCAAAGAAGTAAAATATTGCCCCTTATCCAATCGATCCAATGGATTACCGATGCGTGGAAGAGGAAATTTATCTTTTATTGTAAGTTGATTTAGTTCCCGGTATAACCACACAGAGTCTAAAGTCTCCATTCTTCTTTTTGACAAGTATCAAAGGACTGGCATAAGGAGATTCACCTGGTTGGATAATTTTATTTGTCATTAAATCTGCAGTTATTTCTCGCACAGCTAGCCTCTCGCTTTCAGACAATCGATACGGTGATCGTGCAACAATGACATCCTTTTATAATTTTATTTTGAAACTAACATTATTTACTGCACCCACTTTAGTGCCAGTTGTGATCATATAGAACTGAAATCTTGTAAAATGTTTTGAATATCGGCCTGATATTCTAATAAGGGAGCTTCGATTGTACTTATATTTTGAACTTGCTTCAAATACGACTCGATTTATTCCAGGATGTTGCCGTCGTAATACTCTTGATCCTTTGTGATCAGTTATTGTAACCAAATTTCGATCCTGAAATATATTGCGACCTATAAAAACGTCATAGTCAAGTCACAAAAACAAACATAACTGAAGTATCGATGTCAGTTATTTTAGTGTTGGCTGTGAATTTCTCTGTTGTTGTAATGGTTGCATTTGTGATTCCTTTGATTAAAATACTGCAAGAAACTCCTTGAATAATAATAGAAATTTATTTGAAATCAAAGACAAATCTGCGCCAGTGTCGATAAGAGCCCAAAATTGACGTCCATCTAACCTCTGTAGCTCCAGTCGATTTTTGTACACAACAAAAATTGATTGGTACTGCGCCGTTTTTCAATAGCAGCTTTGATCTCGTTTGTTACAAATTAATTGGTTATTTAAACTTTAAGACAAGATAACCTAGGGTCGTAGAATTCAAAAGATTAAGATAACGTGTAGTCCCTTTATGTGCAAATGAAAGTACTCAAAATCCAACAAACAATAATTTTATTTGATATTCAACAAGTTCTGTGTTTAATAATATAGTGACAATGCCACTTTCTTTAAAACATGACAGTTGACAGCTTGGTTTTTCCAGTGAATCTGATACAATGTACCCTTCCAATCCGGAGCTCTTCAATGGGTGTTGGGGTTTCGGTTTCGTCGGTTTCGATTTCATGAACTGGAGCTCTTCGTGTTGTTTCCTGTATCCAAGAATAGGATAGATTGCTGGGGTGACGTCACTCCAGCTGATACAAACTCCGAACATTGATCTTTATGTCGAGTAGGTACCCAGAAAAGGATAAGGCAGTATCAGGTTCACCAATATTTGGAATAATAAATCCCTGAATTTTGTCAAAAAGTGAGTGTCTTTCAAAGAAAATTTAAATTGAAATTTAATATGAAACTATTGTTGTACAGACACTCCCTTCCAACAAAATGAGGTATGAACAGCTATTGCAGAAAGAAAAAAAATATATATATTTTAATAAAAAAAAAAAAAAAACAATTAAATGATTGAAAATAATGGTAAGATAATAGTAAAATTATAGTAGATTATACCACGAGTCAATAATGATAGCTATTATTCCCGAGGAATATTTACGAACTGAGCCGCGGAGTAACATTCCGAGGGAATAATAGCCATTATTGCGAGTAGTATACTCTACTTTATTTACGACAAATTAATTTATTTCACATTTCTAATGAACAAACTTCATCCATCTTAATTCTCAATACAAATCCACAAGCACTACACGTTTGACTCTGACACTTTTGAGGAATAATGACCATTAATCCCGCTAGTCGTCATTATTCCCTGCGGGAATAACATCTGTCATTATACTGTCAAAATCACAAGTATAATGCTTACATTATACGTTAGTCGTAAATAAAAATATTAACAGCGAGATTAAATTAAAATGCTCGTTATAATTGAGCAAAATGCTGCTTTTCTGGCAGTAGCACTAGCAGGCAAAAATATGAACAAAATAAGATCAAAAAAAAAGAAATTAAATATTTAGATTCTCCCCCAAATAGACAAAATTTTGCTTTTAAATTAAGGTAGCTACTATCGATACTACAAGATAAACCTGACGGTGAAATCAATCAAATCCGGAATATGTCAAAATTATTGAGATGTTTCAATTGAAATTTTTTAACTAAATATTTGACCTGTCTGGATTTCTATTAAAAAAAAAAACACCCTTTAGCCGAGATAATAATGGACGGAGTCAAACAGAAAATTGCGCTATTCAGGCCTTTGCCTGGATTCAATAAAGAGTTGATAGGGATGGACACACAAATTTGGTTTTCACCGATTCTATTTAGAGCAAATGGTCCAATATTCCCACACTAACAATTGATTCTGAAAACCAGAGCAGCAGTACCTATTTATTAGTCCAAAAGTCTGAATTGACTTACCTCAGAAAAAAAAAACGCGGAACAACCAATCGGCACTCACAGAAAATGGAAGCCCACAAATAGATAAAAAATTAAAATATAATATTTATGTTTCAAGAATAGATAAGATAAGATTTATCAGGTAAAAACTTAACAATGATATGATAATATTGATATTATGCATTGATAGCAAAATATATTGAAAAATCTATGAGGGAGAACCTAAAAATATAAAGCAAAAATTATAAAATATAAAAATGACTTCCCTGCCAGACTACCGCCGAGAAAAGAGAATGTTTTAGAAAATAAACCCTACAGGAAAACAATCCTGTGTTTTTTATACTTAACTGCGTTTTAAACCAGTTCAACCAATCAGAAGAGTACACCCAAAAGACCGTATACACTTTACAAAGACTTCACAATTTAAAACCACGTGGAATGAAAGAAAATAGATAACAATTCAAAAGAATTATTTTAACTGTTTGCAAATTATAATAATTTGAATTAGGGTTATGATAAAAACAAAAAACTGCTAATCAATTAGGGCATTAGGCCAAAAAATGATTATTTCAAAATCAGAAGTTAGAGAAAAAAGAAATATATCCTTTTGCTAAAAGTGAGATAAATATAATTTCTTTGAATGAAAATACAAATGACTGTCAAATAAAACTAGCCAAGGAAAACGATCACAATTTAAAAAAATAAACTCATCCGTTACTAGATGGCAGCACTGGTAAATTAATAAAAGATATTTGCATTTTACGCTCATGATGGCAAAAATATAACTTCATAATGAAAATGAGAAGAGACGGAACATGTTACGTAAATGATAAATTTATCATAACACGATTTGCGCAAAATGAACACGTTTGGTTGTTGTGAAGTAACAGTAGATGAAGGTCGAGATGACGTTTCTCCATCAATTTTAGATCTAAAAGTTGCATTTTCAGATGATAAATGGGACCTTTTTACACGACAATTGGCCTTAATGTGTCCTAATTTGCCGCACTGAGAGCACTTCTCAGAATTCGCAGTAAATCCCCGCGAGTATCCTTCAAGCTTCATTTTAAGAGAATCATTAACCTTTTTATAACTTTCAACAGAGTATGTTATTGCAGATTTCGAAAAAGCCGACAAAAATACAAACATGATACAAACCAAATACTAGCACATAGACTAATCTGACGCACTGTCCACTGACACCAGAGACTGACACTGAGTGACCACACTAGCATGGAATAAGACCACTAGTCCGTGTGTCCCGCGTTTCAAAGACGAGCTCCCAGCGACACGTAGACAATTCCAGGAGACCAGTAGCGGCTTGTTAATATTAAAATAATCGATAAACAAATATATCAAAAATAATTAATTTCTAACAATGTTTACTTGCTATGAGGCCAAATTTCTTGATGAAACTGGAGTGTGCCTAAATCTATACTAAACGCAAAAATAGACAATATAGATTCTCGTTAAATCTAGCTACATTCAGCAAATTTCCAACCAAATAACATCACAAAAAAAATATATGCAGAAATAAAAAAAAAAAAAAAAACTTGTATAAAACTAGATAAAAAAAAAGCTGTCTACATTGTAAATACTAACTTGATATAGGTAAAGCACTACCGCGTTGTGATGTCCGTTATAAACAGACCAATATTTTTGTTTTATTTTGTAATCAATATAGAACATCTTTTTCATAAATTGATGATGGTTAATACTAATACAGATTTTTATTTAAACTAATATTTTAAGGCATTATAGGTAATTTCAATTCATAGATATTTTCGAATTTAATGTGACTTTAATTAAAAATCTGTATTTAGGGAATGATGTTTCTAATAAAACATGTCTGCTAAATTTGAATATATATTTATTTCTATTTTTATTATCGAATTCATATTTTGGGATAGGTAGCTCAAAGCAATTTTTCACAAAGCAACCAATTATCATTGTGGTTGAAAATAAATTATATTTTATCAATATTTCCATGAAACCAATATTTTCGTTAAATTACAGATGAATAGATATTCTATTTCAATTGAAAAATGATTGTGAATTGTTCTAAAAGTGTTTTTTCCACAACACAACAATTAACATTTCGGCGCTGCCACAAATAAATAACTTTGCCGACATGGAAGAGTACAGCGGACATGTTTTTTTTTTATCAGGGTAGAAAATTGTAAATAAAAAATCATACTGTTTAGAAATTAATAAAAATGTATGGATGAATAGTTTTAATATAAATTGTTGTTCGGGATTGGGAAAAAAACATAATTCTGTTATTGAGAAGAATAGTTTAATGAACATCAATTTTACATTATTACCTATGATTGAACCAAATCCAAGCGGCAGTAATGAAATCAACTGGTCATTTTCATTACAACCTATCAAATGTCCTTCTTGCATGCGCACTGGTCTTGGTAGGGCGTTTCAACCAATAAGAAGGCTGCTGTTTACTTACAATTTAGGTTATTTAATATCATTTACTGCGGCTTTGATTTGGAAATGGTATAGGCACAGTATAGGTACTACACCACTAAGAATTGAGAAAAATCTAGGCAATTTTTGGTTTATTTTTGGTTATTTTTCTGAAACTGAACAATCATTTTCTTAACCTTCCATCTTTGTAATTATCGGAACGAATGACTTGTATATAGTTAGTAAATATAATAAAATGTTAAATAAATTATATAAAAATCCTAGTTTCTTTTATTTATGAAAAAAACACATGAAAGAGTTGTAGCGAGATATTGAAATTGATAATAATTTTGTTACAAACTATGGAGTTGGGCATTAGATTCCCAATATTTAGTTGTTTGTTGCAAGACACCCAGTTGTAGCGTTTGATTTCATATAAACCGTACCAGCACCAATAATTAAAATACTACTAACGGCAGTAAGTTTTTGTACGATATGGCAGTGCTTTTTTACTTTTGTCTTTTTCATCGACGTCGCGACACTTAGGGTCGGTTTCAATAGGGATTCACATCTGGGTTGGTTTTAACTCCAGGGTAAATGTGACTTAGGGCCGGTTTCTCAATAGCAGGTCACCTCCGGGTTGAGCATAACTCCAAGGTAAACAAAGCAACTGGACAAGCTCACCCTGGAGGTAAAATTAACCCGGAGGAGACTCGCTATTGAGAAACCGGCCCGTACGTGTCCAGTTGCAATGGAGTTATGCTTAACCCGGTGGTGACTTGCTATTGAAAACCTGCCCTCAGGGATGAATTTATAGTTGCTTCTTTAGGTTTCCTCAGACCTCAAGGAGGCCTTGAACGTTTAGAATTGACATGACTAACTTGTCACATAGTAGCAAGTGTCCATTCTAAACTCACGACCATTGAAGGTTCCCGAAAAATACTTTTAGCCATCCTAGCAACTTGAATCTTGAATTTGTAGATCTCATTGACAACTACAAAAAAGCTTATTATACGAAACAAATTTGTAGGTAATTTAATGCTGTTTCTAGATTCGAGATAATCGGTTCGAAATCACCAAAGTTATAAGCGAAAAAGTGGTCCCCAAAATTTTCCAAGAGAATTTTTTATTTTATTTTTTTGCGGGCTTAGGAAGCATCGGGGCCAAAAACACCTAGAGACATTTTCGACAAATTTTTTGCTCCCTTATCCGATGGAAATTTTAATTTTTCAAAATTTGGGAAATTAAATGCAGGGTGCGTACAGGGTATTTGATTATATTTGGCACCATACCTACAGCCTTCACTATTTAAGATAGAAAAAAAATTTAAATACAAAACTTGACAGTTTTTTTCTATATTTTTTTTTGACAGTATCAGAAAAAACAAAATCGCATCGGAAAATGGAGAAACGTAGGCTACTTCTACTTTTTTCAATGGAACACCCTGTATATTATGCGATAAAATTAAAGATCTTTTCTTCCTGATTCCAAATATATATATACTGATCATATTTGAGTGAGTCGTTTTTGATATATCTTAGCTTAAATTTTAAATAAAATCCAAAGGAATTTTATGAAGATTTAAATGTCTTGACATCCTTATGAAATTTCTTTGCAAATTTAATAATAATAATAATAATAATGTTTATTTATTCTCTTTTCCTCTGTTCATGTACAATTTACTAAATTTACATTTCTATGATTAACATTCTTATATACTAATACTAATAATGAAGAAAAAAATATGATTAAAATAAACAGTTCACTTATGAAGTGGTAAATCCACTTGTTGTGAAAGAAGGTCAAAATTGGGATATTTTTCATAATCGGGTGGTTTAGTCGAATTCGGGTTTGAAAAGTCACTTTTGGGGTTTAAAGACAATATTTGGATATTCATTCAGACATGATTGGAAATATTTTTTCTTATAACTATATAAAGATTTATTTCTATAATTGGTTAAAAATATTTTCAATTTGTGTGTTTGATTTATAAATCCATTTGTTTAATAAAATTTTAAATTTGTTTAGTATTTTTATTTCTTTTATTTCGATAGGGATTAAATTATACAATTTTGGTGCTATAGCACTAATGCATTTTGTTCCAATAACTTTTTTGGACCTACTGGTTTTTGACTTTCGGTTTACAACACTTCTTGTGTTATGTGGGTGGTTTGAAAATTCAATGATTTCCTTTCTTTTGAAAATCCTTAACGCTATTTTTTGACAAAACAATTGTCTTACATTAAAAAATTCACATGCTCTAAACAGTTTTTCAGTGGAATATCTTATATTTTTGTTGTATATTACCTTAATTATCCACTTCTGTATTGTTTTTAATTTCGCAATGTTGAAATTATTTACTCCTCCCCATCCACATATACCGTACGTCAAAAGAGATTGCACTAAAGCATAATATAACGTTCTTTAAGATACATTCTGAGACATTTAAACCTCGACACCAAGAATCTCAATTTGTTTGTTAGAATTTTTATTTGCAAATTCCATCGCAAGTTGTTATCAATTTCGATTCCCAAATACTTTACAGATTCAGTGGCTGTTATAGTTTGAGAGTCTGATATTTGTAAATCATTTATGTTCGGTGTACCAAGGCTGTATGAGGAGAATGAAAGAAAATGGGTTTTTTTAATATTAAGTGTTAGTTTATTGTGATCAAACCATTCTTGTAATTTTTTAAAGTCGTTTTCCACAGTAAGTTTTGTTTCATCCCAAGAATTGGATTTTACGAATAAAAGAGTATCATCCGCAAAACTTCCTATTTTACCCTTTATATTCAACAATGGACCGAGGACCGTGCCCTGAGGAACGCCATACTTAACAGTTCTCATAGAGCTTGTCGTTTTATTTAGTTTCACTGCCTGGTTCCTGTCTTCTAAGTAACTTTTAAGTAATTTAATGCACGAGCCTCGTATTCCATGCCGTTCAAGCTTTTGTATGAGCTTCTTATGGCACACAGTATCGAATGCCTTTGCCAGATCCACGAAGATGCAAAGTGAAGCCTCTTTGTTATCTAGAGCTTTATAAATTTGTTTTGTTAGGTACACTATTGCATCCTCTGTAGATCTGCCAGTACGAAAACCAAATTGTTTCTCCGAGAGCCTTTGATACCTATCCAAAAATTTCACAATTCTTCTCTTTAGTGCCATTTCAAATATTTTGGCAATGGACGATATCAGTGAGATGGGTCTATAATTTATTATATCTTGTGTGTCCCCTCCTTTAAACAATGGTTTTTTAATACCAATCTTTAAGGCCTTTGGGAAATATCCAGTTTCAAAGCATTGATTTATTAAAAAGCTTATATGAGGTGCAATGATTTCAGATATTTCCTTAAGCGTTTCTGGTTTGATTGAATCATATCCCGGGGATTTTTTAGGTTTCAATTGTTTTATTAAATTTTGGACTTCGTCTGTAGTTGTTTGTGTTAAAAATAAAGAGTTTAGATTTTGTGATTGCTCCGGGGGTCGATTTGCGGGTGAAATAATTTTACTTGCATATTTGTTACCCAGTTCAGAGTAATGTGCATTAAAAATCTCTGCAATTTTTAGTGTGTCAGTATGCGTGATATTATCTATTTTTATTTTGGTAATTTCTGTTTGTTTTTGTTTATTGTTGCCTGTTATATTATTTGTAAGCTTCCACAATTTTTGTGATGAGTTTGAAATATGCTGTACTTGTTTTCCGTAGTATTCTTTTTTTGTTTTTCTAATTAAAGCTGTTAACTGGTTTTTGTATTTTTTGTAGTTGCGAAGCATGTCTGTGTCTTGAGGATTTAATAGGCATTGAGTATACATTTTGTTTTTTGTCAGAACTGACTTTACTAACCTTTTTGACATCCACGCGTTTTTTGGTGTATTTTGAACTCGAAGAGGAACAGCTCTAGTACTTGATTCGACTGTTAACTTTATTTTGTCAATAAGAGATTCTGTAGCATCATCTATATTGCGTGCCGTATAGACTAAACTCCAGAAACTTGGAGTTTGCATTTTTTGCCTAATTTTATTATAGTCAGTGTAAATTTTACGATTACAATCTTTATATTTGACTTGAGTTTTGGGTCTATCTGTTTCTATAAATGCCATAATTGGGTAATGATCAGTTAGGTTATATCGAAATACTATAGAGCCCACCTCTAGTTGTTGCTTGGTCGATTTAATAAATATGTGATCAAGACAGGATTTTTGTTCATTTCTAACCCGTGTTACTTTGTTTATATATGGCAAAAACCCGTTCGCATAGAGACAGTTGAGATATTCTTCAGAAACGTTAGTTTGTTTTAAAATGTCAATATTAATATCTCCAATGAGAATTTGGCAGCTTGCATCAGTAAATGTTCTCAGATAAGTATCCAGACTCTCGATAAAATCTGTACAGTTAACTTCTTGAGACTTGTATAGTGCTGAGATAAAGATTTTTTTCCCACTTAAATTTAGTTTTATTTTAATAATCTTGATAAGACCTACATTGCTAATTTCACACTCGGGTCTTAGATCAGATCGAATGAAAACAACTGTGCCATCATTTCTGTTAATCTTACTAGCATTATAAACAAAATCGTAATTTGGAATGTTGAAATTTTTGGCATCGTAGATTACAAATGTCTCAGTGAGGACTATAACATCAAATTCTTCACCTAGTGATGAAATGAAAAGTAGAAGTTCATCAAAATTTTTTCCTATGCTGCAGATATTAATATGAAAAATTTTTAGGCCTAGGGGAAATTTCTTTACTTCTGCTTTAAAATGACATATATCTGATACTTCATGTGCTTCATGGTCTAGAGGCATATAATTTTGTATGTATTCGTTCATTTTTACTATTTATGATGTATCAAAAAAAAATATTTAAAAAAATAATATTTCGCCAAAAGTAATGCCTTCAACCTTAAGGGGCAATAACAATCAATAGTCACTACGATTTGTAAGCACTAAAATAGAAGGATTCTAAACTACTTATATAGTAAAAACCATGTATTATGTATTACTGACCTATTTTAATAACATGCATTCCTTTTTTTTTCACTAGTTCCGTTTTTGACCGTTTGGTTTTTTCTGATGCGGCATTTGTTGCTGACTGTTAGTACTGCTGTTTCCTGAACCCCATCTTGTTCTGATTTTTGAACTTTCTATAGTAACAGGTTGATTTTTTGTTGATTTAGGTTTGAGTTTTGTTTCAGCGATCTCCAGATTTACTTCCTTATTTGTGTTTTGTTTTCGTCTTTCTTGTGTATCTACTTCCTGTTGAACTTCTTCGTCCTCAGAGCTTTCCACGTTTGTG